TCAAGCAGTTTGTGAATCAGATAAAACTCTCTTTGCCTACATTATTGATTTTTTAAAAACCAACGTATTTGTTAAAAATTAGTGAATGTTAATATGGAGCAACAATGCTGACGTAAACAATATTTGATTTACCATTACTTCATTATGGCTTTCCTATAAACATAGTAATTTAACTCTGTCTCTAAAAATTACATTTTTACTTTACGCAAATCTAACATCACATAAACCTTATACATTTACTCATTCTGTGCCTTTATCAAGGTAGGAAAGAGAATAATTTGACAAATGTGCTGATTCTCTGCCCTGGCCTTACCTCTCAGCTGTACTGAGCTGCTGATGGCCCTGAACCAAGCTCCACATGCCACCTGGGATGGAGGTTGTAATTTTTTGCAGCCAACTGGGACAACTGGACCTCCTTGGTTACTTTGAATTCCTGGGGCCAAACAGAAGGACAGGATGGTCACAGGGCCTGAGCAGAGATGCTGGAGGGGCCCTATGGGGGTGTTGGATGAGGTAGGGGCCAGTGTCTGGATCTTTGCTCATAGGAGACCCCTTCTCTCCTCTCTGAACCAGGCCCCATTAGAGCTGCTCCAGCAGTCCCTCCTCCAAGAAGGCTACCTTCATTATATGTCATTATACATTCATCCAAACTGGTGGAAATTATAACTCCAACCATGAACCCCAATATGCACTATGGACTGTGGGTAACCATGATGTGTCAATGCAGGGTCATCAATTCTAATAGTGTCCCACTCTGGTGGGGGATGTTGATAGTGGGGGAGGCTGTGCAGGGACAGGGAGCATAAGGGAACTCTCTCTACTCTTCACTCAATTCTCCTCAGTTTGTCCTGTGAACCTAAAACCGTTTTAAAAGGGCTTCTTTTAAAAATTATGACTGTCACATGGCTGACAGTGTTCAAGAGCCCCATAGGTGTGGGCCCCTTCAGAGATAAAGTCCCGTGAAATCAGCACACAGCGTCCTTTCATCACGGTCTCCAGAAGTTCCCTCTTCATTTTTCCTACACCCTTTGCTGTCCCACCAGATCATTCCAGAGCATCTGTCTCTCAGCACTGATGACTTCCATAGGGGAAACCTAATGGTCACTTTCCACTGATCATCTTCCTGGACATCCTGGAAGCAGTCCAGATGCCAGCCTCACTGTGTTTCTCAGGCGCTCTCATCTCTGGATCTTGACATCGGAACCTACTCCGTTGCTCCTCCTCTTCTGGGTCCCCCTCTGCAGCAGCATTTGCCAACAGGGACTCCTTCCTTGGGTTTACAATCTGCAGTGCATCTAGCTCAAGCCTGGCCTTATTATTTTATCCTGTACTTAAAAAAAAAAAAACCTCGGGGTGATGTAATCCATACCTAAGAAGTTAATGACGAGCTCCATGGATAAGCCCAGCATTTTATCTCCATTCAGAATTATATAGAGAGTTGCCTTGGTGATTCGCTAACTTGGATGCTTCATAACATTACAGATTAAAAACAATCTAACCCCCAAATCTTGGTCTTCCTCTTCCTCCACTTGCCTGTGACCCAGACTTACTGTCTCAATAAAGTGTAACAGTGGTTTTGTGGTTGTTATTGTCTTGAGAGACAGAGTCTCACTCTGTTGCAGAGGTGGAATCACAGCTCGCTGCAGCCGCCCACTCCTGGACTCCAACAGTCCTCCCGCCTTGGCCTTCCGAAGTGCTGGGATTACGAGTATAATTCAACTCGCCCTGGCTGTGCCCATGTATTTTAATTTGTGTATTTATATAGAATTGGGAGAGTTTCCTGATCCTGGGAAACTTTTACGCTGTGTATCTCAAATGACCTGTGACCAAGTCCTGTTCATTTCTCCTCCCAAGATGGATTTCCAAATGCCTCTCTTCATTTCCATGACCACCCCCAACCTTTAGCCTCTTCCTCCTTGAAGGGCATCTGAGGAGTTGTTTCCAGGTTTTGGCTGTGAGGAACAAGCCTGTGGGTAACCCCCCATATAGACACTGAGGAAGAAGAGCTAAGCAGGATCGTGATACAATTAGTGCTGACGAATATCTGTTTATAGTGTTACTACTCAGTGATTTCTTTTTATATAATCCTTTATATATAATCATATATTAGTTTATAGAATGAGTGCCTGAAGAATATTTTACTACTCAGCTATTTCCCTACATATATATAACTATATATTAGTTCATAGTCAGAGGAATGCTTAGAGCAGACACGGCACAGAGCATGAATTAAGGAATAAGCAGCTTATAGTTGGAGGACTGTCTGGAGCAGACACAGGGCAGAGCATGATTTAAGGGAAAAACAGTTATACCAGGACAAGAATCCATGGCCCAGGCAGCAGCGTTCAGTATCGTAAAGATACCTGCTGTATGGCAGGCTTGGGTCGAGAGCCACCCCTCCTGATAAAGGAGTTGTAGGACCTTGCTCCAGTTCTTTTGGAAGGCTGCCCCCAGACCGGCAATCCCTCCAGCATCTGAGGGCTCAAAACCCCTCCGGATAATCGTGCCTTGGTGACTGTGAACTTTTATCAGCCCTTGTTACTGTGCTGGCTCAAAAGCATCCTCCTATAGAACTCACTGGAAGCTGCCAGCAGGTGGTGGGAGACTGTCAGTCTGTCACTGCTGTGTGACTTAAAGCATCCTCCTATAGATATTCTTAGAAGTAGCATACCCATAGATAAGAGATATTGCACACTGCACCCTCTTCACTGTGCGCAGCCCACCTCCATGCCTCAGTGACCTGATGGGGGTGGACCCCTTACTGCACACAGTCCACCTCCATGTCTCGATGACCTAATGGGAATGGACCCCTTGCTGCGCACTGTCCACCTCCTAGCCTCGATGACCTAATGGGGTTGGACCCCTTGCTGCGCACAGCCCACCTCTATGCCTCAGTGACCTAATGGGGGTGGACCCCTTGCTGTGCATAGCCCACCTCCATGCCTCAGTGACCTAATGGGGGTGGACCCCTTACTGCACACAGTCCACCTCCATGCCTCAGTGATCTGATGGGGCTGGACCCCTTGCTGTGCACAGCCCACCTCCATGCCTCAGTGACCTAATGGGGGTGGATCCCTTGCTGTGCACAGCCCACCTCCATGCCTCAGTGACCTAATGGGAGTGGACCCCTTACTGCATACAGTCCACCTCCATGCCTCAGTGACCTAATGGGAATGGACCCCTTGCTGTGCACAGCCCACCTCCATGCCTCAGTGACCTAATGGGGGTGGACCCCTTGCTGTGCATAGCCCACCTCCATGCCTCAGTGACCTAATGGGGGTGGACCCCTTACTGCACACAGTCCACCTCCATGCCTCAGTGACCTAATGGGAATGGACCCCTTGCTGTGCACAGCCCACCTCCTAGCCTCGATGACCTAATGGGGGTGGACCCCTTGCCGTGCACAGCCCACCCCCATGCCTCAGTGACCTAATGGGGGTGGACCCCTTACTGCACACAGTCCACCTCCTTGCCTTGATGACCTAATAAGGGTGGACTCCTTGCTGCGCACTGTCCACCTCCTGCCTAGGTGACCTAATGAGGGTGGACCTATTGTTTATTGCTCACGACCCTATCACTATCCTTAAAGATGACTTCACTCACTACCCTGCCTCCAACCAATACCCAATAAATACAGATGCTTCCGGACATTTGGGGCCTTGTCTGTCTCCACTTACAGGTGGTGTGGCCCCCCTGAGCCCAGCTGCACTCTTTTTGTACATCTGTATCCTGTCTCTTTATTTCTCGGATCCAGCACCTCAGCACAGCATAAGGGACACCCCATGACCCTGTGGGGCCCTTAGCCCTACACAAGCCTGCTGCATATTAGTGTATAGGATTTTATGTGAACTTATGTGCTGTCTGGTGGGGTCCTCAAAATACCTTTGAGTTGGCTGACTCTCTGGAAAGACTCAAAGAGCTTCATGAGGCTCAGCTCCCTGAAGGACACTACCTGGCCCAAGGCCCCCAGCATAGATCAGGTCATCACCTTAACTGCCCACAGCCCCAGCTACACAAAGTCACTATGAGGCAGGATAATCCAAGGGTTTGCGGGAATTCTCCCAGGAGCCAGGCAAGGCCAGAGATTCTCTTGGGAATGGGCAGTTTAGAAGCATCCCAGGCCTACTGCACTAACTCTTTGCTGAATACATGTTAATTTCTCTGGGACAAATGCCCAGGGATTGAGTTGCCAGGTTCTTTTGTAGTTGCACATTTTGCTCTTGTTTTTCTTGCTGGTGGTGGCAGTGTTTGCTGTCTTGGGGGGAGGGGTTGTCACACTCTTCCAGGGTGGCTGTACCACATTACATTACCAGTGGTGATGTGTGGGTAACCCAGTTTCTCCCCATCCTTGTCAGCTTTTGTTACTGTTTCTACATTTGTTTAAGGTATGGTCATGGGTGTGTCATGCTGTCTCACCATGGTTTTAATTTGTGCATCAGTCCGCTTGAGCTGCCATAACAAAACACCACAGGCTGGGTGACGTAAAACTGCTTCAGTTTTTACAGTTCTGTAGGTTGGAAGTCCCAGATGAAGGTGTGGCAGCATCAGTTCCTGGTGAAGGCTCATCCTGGCTTGTAGATGGCTCCTCTCACTGTATCTCCACGTGGCCTTTCCTCGGTGTGTGCTGGTAGAGTGACAGCCAGCTCCCTGATGCCTCAGTTTAATAAGGATGCAAATCCTATCCCAGGACCCCAACTTATCACCTCGTCCAACCTTAATTATTTCTTACTCCAGATGCAGTCATACGGGGATTAGGGCTTCTTTTTTTTTTTTTTTTTTCTGGGAGCGGGGAGGAGCTGGGAGTCAGAGGAGCTGGGAGCAGGAGGAGGGGAAGCAGGAAGGAGAGCCCCACTCTATAGTAGTAGGAAAGCTGAGAGGACTGGGCCAGAGCCCGCATGTTCCCATGCCCTCTGTGAAGGTGAGGGTGGGCCTGGTGGGGGAAGCTGCTGGCTGCAGGTCTGAGGGCCTGGGTTGGCAAGGTGGGCTGAGCCCCAGGAGCCTCACTTGTTGTTCAGCAGCAGAACGATGGGGTTCAGCTCCTTGCGGGACCTGTAGTAGGTCTGCAGCGGCACAATGAAGTTGTACAGCCCATTGCCAGCCGTCTCTGCCGACACAATGATCAGCTTGTTCTTGAACCCGTAGGCCTTGGCATCTTCATAGCTGTTGTGCTTGCAGCTCTTGTCCAGCCACAGGCAGCAGAAGGGGGCTTTCACAGGCAGGAGGTGGCGCAGGGTTGGGGAGCTGCCTATGTAGGGCGGGTTCGGAGGGTATCCCTTCACGTACTCCACCACAGAGAGCCCCTCGTCGTCCGAGGGTGTCACCTCGTCCTCCAACTGGTCACTCAGCAGGTCATAGGGCAGCAGGGCCGAGCTGTCAGCCAGTTCTAGGACGGGTGCGATGCTGGGTCGCTGGCTGCCCGAGCCGTTCTCTGTGGGCAGTGCCAGCTTGCTGCTCCCGACGCTCCCGACACTCTGCATGGGCTGGTGCTCTGTGCCCTGCAGGTCCATGGCCACTGTCCCCATGGAGGCGATGATGCTGTGCCGGACCCTCGTGCAGCCCCTGCCCCGAGAACGCCCTCTTCTTCCGCTTCTCCTCCTGCTTGAAGATGAAGGCCGAGTTCTCCTCCTTGGTGATGTTGATGTAGAAGCAGGTGTCGGAGGCGGCCAGGATGTGCCATGGCCCCGGGTTCAACAGGATGCTCTTGTTGTCCTCCCGCTTCAGCCCGATGAGGCACACACCGTACTTCTTGTGGGCGTGGAAGGCCGCGTAGGTGAAGCTCTTACCCTCGTACTCGCGGAAGAACTTGCTGTCGCCCATGCGGATGTGGTACACCTCGTTGCCGGAGCAGTGCCCGTACATGCACTGCCACTGCTCTGGGGACTCCTGTCCCTCCTGGCCACGGGACGTGTGCACCAGCAGGGTAATGAGGGTGGAGGTGGCCGGGCAGATGCAGTTGAGTGTCAGCATGGCATACTTGCACTCCTCCTCACACACCACGTGGTCGGTGAACTTGACGTGAAACTTATTTTCAGGCTTGAGGATCTGGACGTAGAGGGGGCAGTTGGGGGCGAAGTCCTTCACGGCCCAGGCACGCAGGATGGTCTGGTGGTCTGCTGCCATTTCCTCCCAACGGACCCCAGTGTGTAGTGCTCCCCTCCCTGTGTCCATGTGTTCTCATTGTTCAACACCCGCGGTGTTTGATTTTCTGCTCTTGTGTCAGTTTGCTGAGAATGACGGTTTCCAGGTTCATCCATGTCCCTACAAAGGACACGAACTCAACATTTTTGATGGCTGCGTAATATTCCATGGTGTATATGTGCCACATTTTCCCTATCCAGTCTATCATCAATGGGCATTTGGGTTGGTTCCAGGTCTTTACTATTGTAAACAGTGCTGCAATGAACATT